TGACAAACACCAAATGGTGGGGAGGAGGTGGAATGACTGGAACTCACATACGTTACTGATGGGAGTATAAAGTGGGAAGTATTTGTCAGCTTTTTATAATGTTGAACATACATCTGCCCCATGACCCAGCAATTCCACTTCTCAGGACAAACAAAACATATCCATAAAAGGACTTGTGTCTGAATATTCAGAGCGACTATATTCATGGTGGCTTGAGACACGGGCAGCCCAGGTACCCACTAATAGGAGAATGGATATGCAAATTATGATGTAGTTATACAATGGAGGGTTGAAAAAGAGCACTCAAGAATATCTAAATTTTGTCAACAAGCAATATTTGTCTTCAATTTTATAAATGGGAACTATAAAACGTGTCCTCTTGAAGTAGATTCCTTTGTATCAATTTGAAAATAAAATAAAAAGGAAATGATGCTACTGTGGTTTTATAACAGAATAAATGCAAGAGATTCCTATTAATACTAAAAGAAAAAGCATTTTTCTCTCTAGATAAACTTGTATGCTTGCTAGTTAGATGAGAAATGCCTAACTTGTAGGCTTCTAATTTTTGCCTTGGCTGCCAGGAAGTTCAGAGCTAAATTCAGTGTTCAGTTTAATGATTAACATCCCAGCTGCCTGATTAACCAATTGTTTTTTTTTTAGGGGGGTGCATGGGGGGAGATAGAAGATGGGGGCATTATCTTGTTCCATATTGTAAACTACCTGAAACCATTTGGAAAATGATGTTGAAATCATATAAAATGTTAGCCATTTTGAGAAAAAATTTTTTTCACTGCAGATATAAATACCTTGTATGCTTCTGCTTGTCAAAAAAGGTTAAATTAGGAAAGACTTTTGCTGTTGCTTGAATGACGCATCTGCTAAAGGTGAGTCACTAACCAAACAAATGATCGGATGATATAAAAGTCCGTCATTTTGAAATACAACCACAGTGACAGGGACCCTCTCACATCTGTTTATGAGTTAGACTGGAGGAGCCAACGTAACAGTATGGAATACGGTGAGTCCCTCATGGATGGTAGACGGCATAACAAATTCAAGTGCACTTCGTCAGATTCTCGGGCTAAAGAAAGAAATCAGATCTGCACGCAAGTGTGCTCACTGTCATTCTGTTTCTATGATAACCGGTTTTGGCTGCTTTGATTTTATCCACCGGATAGGATATTTTCTGTCCTTTCTCATTTAACAAAACTGTACAACCTTGGCCCTCAGGAGAAAATAAAAGTCTTTATTCCCAAAGGGCATATTCTAATATAATATTAAGGGAAACAACAACAACAGAACGCCTCTCACCTGTGCTGTTTCACTGTTGAACAACCCAGTCAGCTTCTCCTCCTCTTGCACTTTTCTCCACGTTGCACAGGACTCAGCACTTTTCTCACTGTGGCCTTTTTTTTCTAGTAACCTATTTTGCGTCTGATTGACTTGCTTTGTTGCAGCCTTTCGTGAATCAACCTATTGATACAGAGTAAGTAATAATATGTAAGGAAAACTTCTGACACTTGTAAAAAAAAAAATGCATTCATGTCCAGATTCTTGAAACTTTTATACTTGCCAAGCTTTGAAAAAAGGAAGAAATAAAGAGGAAACCAACAAATGGAAATTACAGAAAAGTACAGTAGTTGGCAAGATTCAGGCCTCTTCTCCTCAATAGGACAAGACCAATAAAAATTAGTGTCACTGTCGTGCACTCTTTAGAAATTATCTCTATAGATAATTTGCTTATTGAAAACAGCATTTTTACAGAAAACTGTCACATATGAAAACTGCACATGAATTCATTATTAACCTTTGCTGGGAGTGGATCCAGGACATCTCTTTAGTTTAAATTCTTATTAATTAGAATCTTAGTTTTCTGTCATTGAAGTGAGCCTAATTAATGTGAACATACGAAAGGAGCTTGTGATGTTGCTTACTTTTTTATGCAGGTAATTTAACCTTTGAGCACATGAATAACAGTCCATGTCATCTAATACTGTGTACCAGTATCAGAGGTTAAATTCTACAACAAGCTTGCTGTCTCTAAGGTTTCTTTTTCACACCATGCTGTTATCTAGGGGATGACTGACTCTCAATAACCTTGAAGTAGACACAGGGCAGATCCCACAATACAGTTGGAAGATTGAAAGCCACAGTGAAGATCCTTATGTGAAGTATTTGTTCAGCAGCTTCATGTTTACAGCAGCTGAAAGTGCCATCACCTTTTTTCATGGGTTAAATGGGGGGCAGAAGATAGGAGCAGTACAAGGGTAAATAATGGAGTAGCCAGTGCCAAACTAGAGAATGAATTACATTGGCTGAGCAAGCAGAGCCTTAATTTGTAGTCGAGATCTCAACTTTTAGCTTCTATTGCCAAGTGTGTTCACTCCTTCCCTTTAAAATATGCTGGTGTTTTGTGGCTAGGTTTAAGCTGTCACAACACCATTCTTTACTCACCCCTCCTCCTGGATTCCAGCTTCTCAAAGGATAGCAAAGCCATTGCTTCTCAGTAACCTGAAAATTGGAATTGCTTTCTGGTCACTCAGGGGTTCTTTATTTCTACCACTCAGCTCTCCCCAACTCCTAGGAAAATTCATGTGTAACCACCTTCTGAGCCAGTTTTCCATTGAAGTTATCTTGGTAATAAATGCCCATCATACCACTAGTGTGAAACAAAGTGTTTCCCAAGGCTGCTGTACATAGTTCTATCTTAATAAAACACTGGCTTGCCAATCATCATGAAATGTGTTCTGTGACAGAAAGGATTAGTTGAGATACTGAGAATTTTAGTGCCTCCTATATGCTAGGCACTTTAGGTATAACAGTTTTTGGTCTGTGAGCCTCTGATGTACAAACAAAATTCGGTCTAATATATTCAGTCCTCTCTGAGGCCTCCTGGAAGAGACAATGCCTCCTGGATTTGCTGTCAGTTGGCTGGATGGTTAAGTTGTGCTGCCATGAGCACTTCTAGCTAATAAACAAAACGATGTCCAATTTATGGAAAATTTCTATTTCTAGGGAAACTTTTAAAATGGTAAGAGTGAAGTGGGATCATGAAGTCTAACCCTTAATTGTGAACAGAGTAAAACTTTCTCAAAGATAAAAAAGTAAATATAGAAGACACTCTGGGTATCCCACATAATCAAAGAGAAGGATACTATCCAAATGTGTGTCACTTTCCAGAAAGTGGCTATTCAAATAAGGTAATTTTTATTTAATTCTTCACTGGCACTTCATACTGTTCTACAAAATAAGGAATACTTTTGGACTCCTAAAATTCAGTAAGCAAAAATGTGCTTATACTTAAGAATTTATATTCTTTTTCTCAGACAGAAAAGAAATATGAAGACAACTTTAATAGAATTATTTTGAGAATTAAAGCTCAAGTAAGAATTCTGTAAGCTTTTAAGTTCAATACAAAGATTACTACTACCAGTAATAATCTATTCACCCCTGAATTTGCTATACGAACCTCAGATTCCGGGTGAATGAAGAAACAAACTTTTTCTTGTCTGAAATGTAGGATAGCTTGAACATTTTAACTATGACCTACAGCTACTCCTCTGCCTTAGTAAAGTGTTCAGGAAGGATGAGTGGCTCACTGTGCTCAGGTGTGTATAAAATTACAAAATGGATTCACGCATCAGAATAAGGAGGGAGATATTGGTAAACTGATAAAAGGATCCACTACTGGCTCTTGAGGAAATGGCTTATTCAAGGGTTGAATTGAGGCCTCCTGTAATGCTGGTTTCTAGCTTGGCTTTAGCATTCTCATCCAGGAATTCTGGAGCTTTAGCTCACCTCAATAAGCATTCTTACTGAATATGGTTTCCTTCAGTGAATTTTGGACATTACGTCCCAATGGATGGCATAAATAGACTGAGGTAGCCCTGATGATAAGATTCTTCTAATATGACAATGCCAGAGCCTTCAGAACTACTAGAGAGTAATATCAGCTATACATAGTATCATTTTGATTAAGGCAAATGTCCCAAAAGATTTGCTTTTCAGGAAAAAATATCAACATCTCTACTACCTTGACAAAAAGTTCATTTCCAATTTAACTCCAGTAACAGTATTTGAGGACTTCAAGAAGGTGGTTCAGCTTATAGGGAACAGTTTATGATGCCTAGTAAAACCCAGTATTGGATAAATCCCTCTGGGCTTTTTTTGCAAAAAGATGCTATAAGTTTGCTGAGATTCTTATGGTGATCTGCTATTTTATAATAACCAAAACATATTTTTGTTATAGCTACTAAATTTAAAAGGCACAAACCACTTATACTGAGGGAAATAACACTTAAAAAATTAAACATTCATAACTTTCCTTTGAATACTGAATCATAGAAACATTTTATTTATCTAACTATATATGTTTCCTGGTCCACTGACTTCTTTTTAAGTATCTTTATCCAAAAATTACAAGTCCAGAGTTCATTATTTATTTTGTTAAATAATTAGATCCATGTATAGAGTAACAAGAAATATCTTTAGCTACTAATGAGGGGATTCTGTCTAAAAAGAGAGAAATTTGGGGCCATGTGATTGATATTCATTCTGGACTTAAAAATGATTTTTGTTATGGAAGCAATCAACTGTGGAAACTATCCTTGATCATTTAGGAAAACTGAGTTCAGGACAGTTTACATTATCATACTGTGCTTTTGATCATTTTCAAGTTTGGTTTTTGCAGTATTTCAAAATCTGTCAACTTAATTTAAAAATAAAAAATTTAAGGTGTGGTCACATATGGTGAACCTATATAATTATCAAATATATTAGTGTACTCAAAATACTACAGAAATAAAGTCATTATTCAGTAAATATTGATCTGCTATGAAATATATCCCCGATTCATCTTAATGTCTATATACTGAGGCTGATCATACTGTTAACAGAAATTAGCTAAAGTCTTAAGAATGCATATTATTCTTAGTGTTTTCTTTTTACTCATAATCAAAGTGCTCTAATCAAAAGGGAAGAATAGAATATTTCTGATTGAGGCTCACTGGAAAAAAATGTTTTATGTTCTATCTCTGCATATAAAAATGGTTTCACAACAAACATCCTTTGAATTTGATGAAACTGAAAATTCTGGTGGGTAATAATTAGAATTTTATATCAGAGGATATAGCTATCAGTTTTTTAAATGGCTTCTTTTATATTTCAATTAAGTTTATGAAACTGAAAAACTACAAAAAAGGAAAAAATCTACTTAAATTAGTGTAGATTAAGTGCTGGCTGTTACTGCAAGGGAAATACTATGTCAAGGAAATGGCTCTTTGTTTTGTTGCAGAAGTGGTAAAAACACAAAAGTCAATAAAACTGTTAAAATAAGTCTCAGTAATTACCAAGATCAAAATGCAGTGGCTTTTTATTAAACATGAACTTTTGTTCTGCCTTCTGCAATACGTAAATAGTGCTGACAATTGGTTTGTGAGGCACTTGCTACAATAAAATGTAATTGTATCATGAGAGAAAGGTGACAATCAGGAGATCATGAAAAAATTACATATTCTCACTGGTAGTTAATTAGCCATGCAAAACCTCCTCAAACAGATATTCTCTTCTATTAGGAATGATTACTATGCAGGCCTACAGATGTCAATACCACAGTCATTCAAATACTTCTTTCCCTACTAATTGAAGGTTGTAAAGCTCTGGTGCCAAGGTTTTGCTTCCAAAGAGCTAATTTATGACTAGAAGGATATTTTATGTCTTCAGTTGCAGCAGCTACAAAATTCAGCAAATCAGAACCATCTGTGCACTGATACTTGACTCACCATTCATCTAGCAGCCTATCAGTCACATTAGTTTGCATCCTGCATTCTTGGCTCATGAATACTTGTGATGATCCAAAGTTCACAAGAAATATTAAAAATGAATGACATCCTGACCCTACCTTAATGTACATGCATCAGGAAACAAAGCCCTCCATTTTTTTTTTTTTTTTTTTGCACATGGGCAGTGTCAAGGCAGGATTAGACATTTAGTTGCCTGTCCAGTAATGTTGCTGATAGCAGTCTCAGGCTTCTCCCACCTTCTTAAAAAATGTTCCAAGTTCTAATTCTTTTGTGTTGTTTCCAGTTCTAATTTTTTTTAAAAATGTTGCTGTGAGGGAGTCAGTTGGAAGATAAAGTGGAAGGTGTAACTTTAAAAAATAACTTTTTGCAAAAACGAATTGTTTCTATAGATTGAAATATCAGCACATACAAATATTCCGGTAAAATTTAAGAATATTATTACCACCACCAAATTATGGCCAAGGGTAAGCAAAAACAGGGATGACTAAAGAAAATCTGAAGAAAAGCAGCAAAAAAAGGTTTCCATGAATAAAGCTGGATTCGCCTTCAATATCTTATCCTAGTCCTATCTCTATGACATCAGTGACTGCTTTATTTCTTTAATAATACACAACAGGCCACAGATCCTACTATTTTTCTCTTAAAGACAACAAGTCAAAGGAACCTTCAGTAAAATTTCTAAGAGCTCAGGGGATATAAGAATTAGATATAAGTAAGAAACAGGACTGTCAGACTCATTTTGACACCTAAAACAACTTCATTTGGTACATAAGCTTCACAGAAGGTCATCACTGGATTCAAGGGACTGTTACTTACCTTTTGATTATTTGGAGGACGCACATTTAAGCTCTCTCCTTTAGGGGAAAATTCCAGTGGTCCTAAAGGTATTCCACTTGGGTTCAGAATTTTCTTGAGCATTTGATAGTTTGGCTTTTCATCATATGCTAAATTATGAGCACATACCAAATACTGGGCTATTTCACCTGTGAAGTGTTAAATTTTTTTAATATGTCATTCATAATGGGAAAAAAATTTCAAAACTCCAATATTCTCAAAATCTGTTGTTTTTCTCTTATACAAGCAAGTGCGCACACACACATACACCCCCCTCAAAGAAACTAAGAATGAACAGTTCAACAGGAAAGTACTCTTTAAATGATATCCAAAAATGACTGAAATCTAGTGACCTACAGATTGGATAAGATGGGAGAAACCAGTTTTTTTTAAACATATCTTTGTTGATATGTTTACAATTCACTCATCAAAAGAAGCAAATTTTTAAAATTATAGTTAGTGATTTTGATTTATAGGTTGTAACTATTAAGAAATACATGAATAATATAACAGAACCAGCCATGCTTCACACTTTTTTTCTGAAATTTTAAAAATTCAGTTAAAAATAAGTTTTTTGAAGTTTTAAAAATTCAGTTAAAAATACTATAAACAAAAAAAACCAAACAAAAACAAACAAAAAATACTATAAACGTCCTTACTTTAAAGGAAGAAATCATTGCAAATTGTAATTAAGGCTTTGATTTTGAGATTACAACAGTTCATTTAGAAATGACCTTGAATTCTACAGTTTTAGCCGTGACTGACTAGAATTTGCCGAACCTCGCTCAAGTCCTGCATACCTAGCTAGCCCAGTGTAATCATGGCATAGCCTTTCTGATTTAGAGCACAAGGATGAGAAGTTGCCACCTTTTAATTTTTCTCTTCCCTAGAATGGTACAGTAACCTCCCCACAAAAAAAGTTATGAACTACAAACTTTTAAATACAGTACAAGTAGAGTCAGTAACCAAAAATTGGAAATATAACCACTTTACAACAAATGGAGTTTGCATTTTTGTTTCAGGTGGAGGTTCAATGTGAGATATAAGTGATAATACCATACACTGTTTAAAAACTGGCATATTTTCATTTGTTAACAGAGATGTTTATACTCCATAAACTAGTTTTTCAAGCCTTTCCTCTTCAAAAACTTATTACTGACCCAGACACAAGTACCTCTTACTTTCTCACTAAGTTGTTTATATCCTATGGTGGGGAAATTGGGGAAGCTTCATGGCTTGGCAGAACTGACTTCCTAAATCTTTGCTCCCTTCCAGGCCTACCTCCTTTCAAGTGGGGAACTGCAGAGACACTGGGTTTCACTCCCTACAGGGAAAAATTCCAAAAGGAATAGTCATTATCTCTCCCCCCAACCCCCCCAAGGAAAGTCAGAGAGTGACCATTTTGCACTGTATTGTCCACAACTATTTTCCAGGAACATAAGGCTATTGTGGCGAAAATGAAAACTCTTGGCTCCAGAGTTTTTTTTGTTTTTTGGATACTGTGGCAATTCTGCAACCTTCTTTTTTCCTCTCTAATGTATAAGATGTCAAATTCTGTTATCTAGCACTCGCTCGACCAGATCTCTGTAACTAGGAAGTGCTGCAGCTTCATCACATTTATAACTCATGTTTCCAGAAGCCCTTTGTGGGGGCATCCAATTCTTGAAGAGATGATCCAAAAGAAAAAAGATTAAATTACATCCACTACCATTTTAATATGAATATTCTGTTTTTCTTTGTTCAAGATTGGTAACCCCAGTTTGCTATATATTATAATTCTATTAACCAGAATATCCCAGATGAAGAAGAGAGCTGAATATGTTGGGGACACTCTTCATAATTCACTGTTAGAAGACAATGGAAGACTCCTGGCACTCCACCAGCTGATAGTAGCTGTGCTGCAAAGCCTTCATGGGTCTGGGGTTTGAAAAAATGAGGTACCAGTGAGGTAGGAGAGGGAGAAAAAGGAAAGAGCCACCTCTGTTATGAATATATTATGATAAACCTGACGCTTAGATGATTGTGATATAGTACTGGTTTAAATGTTAGCCTTTCAAGATCTGGATTTATTATATTAAGTGCACCTTTTAAGTTACTAGCATACTTCCAGAGTTATGAAACACATGCTTTGAGTAGTATGAAATTATGATATTCTTGGATCATCTGCTTTTTAAGCTAGTGAAATATTAAGTATCATTACTATCATTTCAAGAGATAGAAACTTCTGAAACTATTATTGATATTATTACACTGAATTGGACATGCGTGTTGCAAACTTCTCAGCTGTTTTATTTCATAAAATGTCTTAGTAATAAACCTTCTGTAAATCGGATTAATTCTCATGCTAGCAATACCCACTCTCCTAAGCATAACCAACTAACTTGAGAGACCTTCAGTTAATCATAAGGTTTCAACGTTTTGTGCCTTAGAAATAGAAATCTGCATTTTATAAAAGAATAGTATAGACCCAAACAAATGGTTTGTACTGAAAAAGAGGAGCCTGGCACTCCTCCCACCATTTCTTGTACCACTCAAATATTATATTTAGCAATAGCAGTGTCCCAGAATATACACTGGTCCGTAAGCATTTACTGTGTACAATCCAGGGCACATGGGCTTTCTTTCCTAATCCTAAACTGAACAGTTACCTTTTGTGCATGAGAGACAAGAAAAGAGATATACAATTAAAAAAAATTTTTAACATCTCCTCATCTCTCTTTTTGCTGTCCTGTTGAGTAAAATGAAAGCTGTGTGACTTGGTAAAAATGCCAATAAGAATATTAGCCAAAAAGGAATACTGGCATATTGACTGAGTTACTCAGTGCAGTTACATAAATGAAAAGTTTTCATCTTTCAACCCATCCCCCAAAATGAGAATACTACTCTCCCGTTTGCCTCCCTCCATCAGAAGGAAAGAGACAACAGAGGGTGGGAAGCAGAACACTCATACTGGGCAGACTTATGGGATTTGGGAAATGGAGGTGGGAAAACAGAACTGGTCTGTTCATTTCCTAAGGAAATGAAAATTTTGGTTTCTGGTCAAAGAAGGGCTGTAAGTATAAGTTTAAGATGATTTAACTCTACTTTTAAACTCTCATGTGGAAACTGATACTATTTGACCTTATCTAGACACTCAGCGTACATATTTACTTTCATAAGTCAGCTAAAAGCTAACTTCGAAGTTGCCCGGTAGAAACAGAGATCAAGATTCACTCTGCCTATCGTCTCGGAGAGAAAGCAAGCCGGACAGCAGAAGCAGGCTCTGCTCTGTGAGGCAGTCTAACTCGGTGGTTAACTCGGTGCTGAACAATGTGCCATGCAGCACTTGGGTAATTCTGAATTGCCTTACTATTTTTACTGATAGTACTACCAATTAAAGAATTCCGAAATGGTCTATACTAACGTGAAAGAGAAACCTGTTCACTGAAATATACTCCGAATCCCAAGGTCATATGCCTTGCCAATCCAAAAATTTTTTTCTGGACGTTGAGTCAGACTATAACCCAAGTCTAAACAGCATTCAAGTGTTTAATGGTTTGGTTTTTTAAATTATTAATTGAAAGTAGTCTTTCCTTAGATCAACTTTCTCTTCTTTCAGCAACACACATAGGAACAAAAACAGAAAGTCCACTCTAGAGATACCACATACAGTTGACCATTAAACCTGTGCATGATTCCCAAAATATACATCTAAAAGAAAGCAATGCCATCAGCAGAGCCCAGAACGCTGCCTGCGTATGTTCTTGCAGCATTCTTGTGTCCTGATGAAAAGAGGATCTAAACAATCTCTTCTCTAGCAACGTATCTGTAACCCTGGAGAGTTTCTTCCCATCACTATGGGAATGGGACTGGGTGCAGCAAAAGCTACAAAACAAGAGTGACAAATGTGGTGAGCTGTAAATCATATAGGAGAAGGCAGAAGTTATCACCTGACTTACAGCAACTGCTTCCGGAAGGAGCCCATTTAAGCACCGACTCAGGCAGCTCATCCAACAGACTAAAACAAAACAGAGTAACACACAGTGAATTTGTTTGCAATCCTGTGATTTACTGTTTTGATTAGAAAACAAAACTCTGTGGGTCACCAGTAATGTGACTTTCCATACTTTTTTTTTTTTCACCCACCTGTAATGGGTAAGAGGGTAAGTGGATGGGGGAGATCCCTCAAATCTCACTGATCGATTTTATATCAATCACCTAGAAACTAAATGTAGAACTACAGTATAAAGGCTTTAATACAAGGTCTGTACGTGTAGAAATGTAGAAGTAGGGATACGTGATTTTTAAAAAAAAAAAAAACCTTAAGAAAAAAATACATAGAAAAATGTTATCTGGATTTTCAGGATATTTTTCCTCAGGTACTCAGCACTGGGGAGGGGCAAATTATTTAATATTTTATGTATATTGTTCTCAATTGGGCAGTTGCTTTATGCTATGCCATGATTAAACAGGTTAACAAGAAATATCCAAAAAACAAAACAAAAACCCCATTATTCTAACACTTTCCAGTGTTTTAGACTGAACAAGTACAAATCTCTTAAGTTGCTTCAGCCACAAATATATAAACATTCGACTAAAATTACTGATATGAATGTTTGATTCACAAACTCAGGCATAGGCAGAATTGCAACAATACATGCACTGATCTAATATTACCCTATGTTAGGAAAATAAAGGGCATATGGGATACAGTATTATGGTTAAATATACAAGCCTGCCCTTATGGGGAAATTCAGCGTTATGCCTTCTCAGCAAGTTGAATAAATTATGATTATGTATTATATAAAAAGTTTGAACATGTCATATATATATAAGATATATATATGTACGTATCTTAATTATACATACGTCTTAATTATAAACTTCATAATACAATATTAGCTTTATTGGTCAATAGGTTTATATTAGTAATCAGGTCAAAATGAATATATTAATATATGCAAGGGGCCCCAAAATACAAATGGAGATTATGTTTATTAGCATTATATTTTATTATTTATGTAATATCCTATTATATTCAAATATATACATGTAGATATATTCATTAGAGACATATACAATGAAGGCATCTATATATGCATATTGATAAAAGACTAAAATAATACTAGTAAGTCTTATTAAAAGAAAAACACATATAGGATCATTGGAATTAAAATGTTAGTCTTTTAAATAAAGTATTTTATTCAAATTAGGTAAACTGAGGTAGAAAATTGGAAACCAAGCCTTTATATATGCCCATTACTGTCCTTTGACTTGACCCATATATTGAAAAACGTTTAGTTACCTGAGGGTTATATGGACGCATCAGTGACCTCAATAAGTAACTGATGAGACAGTTCTAATACTGACATATAAATGTGTTAGTTTTGGGAGAGGGACTAGGACGCTCAAGATTCCAAGTGGAGAAATATTTCATACAATATATGTCAGTATTTACAAATGTAATCTGCATTATTTTGTATCTGCAGGCTAGCTTTCCTCTCTATTAAGAACTGATGCCACACTGAATTAGAAAGACTGATTTCTATGGATCAGCTAGCTACCCTTTTTAAACTTCTGTTGTGACTTGCCCTATTAAAATACAGCTGCTTTTTCCAATTGCGATATTATATCTGTGGATAACTACTGTTGAGAATATCTTGGTGCATAATGAAAAACTGGCTATGCTGTGCTACATGCAATTGACTTTCTGTTAGGCCTGATCAGTGAGAAAAACAGTAAAATAGTAACCCACTCTATTCTCAGTCTAACCTAATTCTCACCCTAATAGAGTTTAGGTGATAAAAGTTGAATGTGGAATATTAAAATGTTTATGTGGCTGCAAAATGATCTCTTACATAAACACCTCATATACAAATTCTGTTTGTTTCTTCCTTAAGAAACAAAACATACACTCCCCCCAATAACAGGATTAAAAACAATGTATGTTGCTCTCACTTGAAAAATATAAGCCCTGTTTGTCCCATTTCACTTTGTTGCTTTGCACAGTTAATATCAATCACACCAAGCTCACACTAACTCCATATACTTATACAATGCTAATCTGAAAATACTCTTCCTTGAAAATACCACCACCTAGAATCTAAGTTTTGGAAAACACCGTGTGAAGGAACAAATATTTCACTTTTTATTTTGTATTACAACTCTCATACATATGATCTCATAGGTGTTAGCTTAATGGATTTTATGTCTGTAAGCTGTTTGGGTTTTTAAAAATATTTTTCAAATTTAAGAAATTTGCTTTGGCTATCTTATGGAATGAATAGGTTGAATGAATGAACAGGTTGAATGGCAGTCTTCTCTGAGATATTAACTCGCTTTAATGTATCCCTTCAGACCTGGTGCTGTACATAACGGAATACTTGAAAATCTGTACTTTGTTTTAGCTGTCTGGACAGCCACAGGGTCCTCCAGGTTCTGCTCCCAGGGCAGTCTCCCACATAACCACCGCAGCAGGCAGTAGCCGAGGATTTCAAGGTCACTTCGTCTGGACAGGGCTATAGGAATAAGCATTAAGAGAGAAAGATGAGGGATAAGTCATTTTTGAGAAATAGAGAAATCACTGAATGAACTACCACTGATGAAATATGAAAAAGCCAAATGGGCGATGTGTTTTGTTTGTTCAGCTGGAGTAAAGCTTAAACGCCCAGGCGTTTGGCCCCGGTCCACAGAAAGGCAGTGACTTCTTGCTGTTGAAAGTAAGGGTCAGTTTCCTCACCTCCTCCAACTTCATCCTTCCTTAGTCTGGCCTGTCACATGAACTTGATCTCCATGGCCTCTGACATGATCCAGACAACCCATAACCTGGCACCAACACTTTCTCAAAGAGCCAAGCAGTAAAACAAAGAAATAAATGTCTGCAGCTAAATTGCTAACACATGTTCCAGGAAGTCCATGGGGTCTGCATTGGTCATGCAGAGACCCTTCAAGTGCAGACTAAACACTGATGGCCTTTCCTGTTCCACTCATACTAGCAGCACTGGAAATCGGAAAATATGACAAAACTGCCATCTAGTGTACACTATTAAAAAACGGGTCTTTCTTAAGATTTTTCAATTAAATGAAAAAGCACAGGATAAATACGCCTGCTGTTTTGGGTACACGGATCTAAAATTTTACAAATATCATTTTAGATATAAGCAGTGCTAAAGCGAACTTCTGATCAAATCTCCTGAATAAAAAATATACAGGTAAAGAAATAATGTGCATGAGGGGTGGGGTGCAGGTGGTGGGAAGTAAATTTTAAAGCCAAAGAGAGGTTTCCATAATCTAATATAAGATGGCTTTTCATAAAAAAATACAGTAAAAGAACATTTTGAGGCCACTGTAAATATCATTTATATAAAACTACAGACTAGTGCCATAGACTAATTTCATGATAATTTTCTGTGTTTTTCTTAAAGTAACTGATTTCAAAAGAAGGACAAAAAAATCTAAGAAACATGTCAAATATAACAAATATTACTGAAATAATGATTAAAACATTAACAAAATCCCACAAAATAAACTCATTTTTATAACCATTCCAAATTGTTATAAAACAATAGCCTGGCTCACACTTCTACCATTACTTGAATGTTCATCTGTGTAGGGATGTAAAATCTCCTAAGTGCAATACACGGCTGTTAAACCCGCCGTAAACAGGTATCCTGGTTTTATTACCTTTCATTACATACATTCTGAAAAGTCACTCAGTAAACTTAGTTTACTTTAAAAAGTCATCTACAAAGAACAATGCTGCTAGCACATCATAACTACTTTTGGTCACCATACATAAATTACTATAAAAGCAGAAGACGAGATTAGCTCTTACACATACTCTATCTTAACTGCTATTAGAGTACCGGATTTATTAAAGGCCCTTCAATCAAGCAGAATGCGACAGTCCCATGGGTACTGTTTACTTTCTGCACAAGCTTCAACAATGTCCTAATGCAAGACTTGGCTCCCCTATTAAAATAAAAACACAATCTCTACCACACTGCTTTGTAGTGATTTCTTCAGTAATAAATCTCCCATTAATAATGGAATGGTTCCATTTGTACAGATGTGTTCACAAATCCCTTTTCCATTATGGCAATTCCTGATTACCACCACTTAAAAAAATTCACATCCTCTAATTTTCAAAAAATTATATTCTGGCACCTGTTTGGACGATATAGGCTACACACAAGAGGCCCTCTGAGGAAAAACAATCAGAATTAAAATGGAATGAACCTTCCCAGCCACTTCCCCCAACCCCCCAACTGAGGGATTAATTGATATGAAGCTGTAAGTAATGACAAGTCATTTAGATTTCTGAAGCCAATCTTTCATAAACTGGTCTTCATTTGAAATAGCCCTTCGAGAGTTAACTTACTTCAGTATCATAGTTCAGTTTTACCTAATTAAAATACAGCACCACATTTTTCAAACTTTTATTTTCTTTTACTGCATATATACATTAATATTTATTGTTGGGTAAATGTTTTACCACTCACTGTTTCCAATAAGTTCTGCAGACATACATGTAATGTTAAAAAAAAAAAATTCTATAGTCACTCTTTCCCACCATTAAACAGAGAGATGAAAGGATTAAAAATGTTTCCAAGTACACACCTTTCCCTGAAATTCCCTCTCAGGGAAACAAACTGCAAAGTGTGATGTGTTTTTGAGAAGTTAAACTCTAAGACTGTACAAGCGATTATGTCTTTTCTCCATCTACTACATACAGAAGAGTAATTTTAACACTGGTTAAATTAATTAAAATATTTTGGATGACAATATTAGCATCTATGAGTGTGTATGTAATTAACACAATGAACTGATCATATATCTTTAAGTTTAAATAAAGTACATCATCAAAAATATAGATGATATGATAATGATAACTGTTGAATCTAGGAATTGAATATTTGGATATTTACTATATTATTCTACTATTTCCTGTATATTTGAAAACAAATAAAATGCTGAAAATTAAAAAAAAGAATTGATCATAGTTGAGGAAGACTACTAATTAACGTTTAACAATGAAAATATTTTTTAATTTGAAAGTTGAAACATATATTATGGATTATTTCGGTTTTGTATAATTTGTATTTCTGTATAATTTATTGTAATACATAAGGTTTTTCAGTTGCATTTGATAGTTAACATAATCATTAGCAGCATATTTTCATGTAGATTTCCTAAAGTCACACTTTTACTTATGGTACTTCTGCTTAGAAATATAGGAAGATTTAGTTATCAATATTCTCTTGTCACTTTCTAAATATAATTTAGCATCTAATTTTTATTTCGCTTATTAATATGGAACAATGTAAATGAATCTTTTCACTGAAAGCCTGTGGTGTTCTCAGTTGCTCAACATTTCTAAATGACAAAGTATTGCCAAGACTAACCAAAAAGAAAAAAAAAAGGCACAGGTGGGGTGGGACTTGAATTCGATTTCACTAGAAAGCAGATTCCAGAAACAGCTGACACTAGAATACATAATTAAAATAAAAACGATCAATGTGATTTATGAAGCTGCTACCGTGCCAGACACTCTACTGCTTTTATATCATCTTATTTAATCATCCTAACAATATGAGGTATCATTAACCCTGTTGACAAATAAGAAAATAGAGGCTCAGAGAGGTTAAATAACTTGCTCAGTATCACACAGCAAAAAGTCACAGAGCTCTGTATTGAAATCCAAGTCTTTCAGAATCCAGAGCCAACACTCCACTCAATCTACCAATTACTTTGCCTCCATTGTTAGTTTTGCACCATTTAGACAACATAACATATACCCTTCTACAGTTAGGGAAGTATTTGAAGCAGGCATTTTAACTTAAAACGCCAAAAGACATACTGACCAAAGACAGTTGCATTGGCAAGGAAGAAATAAGCAGCAGATCCTGAGGTCTAAGCTGTAACACTAACAAAATTTTTCATGCAACTATCCTTACATGACACTATTTCTGTAAAACTACTTCATTCTGATGAAGAAGAATGTTTAATTAAAACATTAATTTATAAAGTGTTAAACGGTCCTTCCAAGCTGAAATGAGAACTTGAACAAAGAAATCACATTGGAGGACTGGTCCTTATTCTAATGACAAACTGGAGTAAAATTATCTGGGTGCAATTCACCAAATGGAATGAAAGAACTGGGAGAAAAAGAAAAGTATCAGTGTTAATCCCAAAATGGCTCTGATTATTTGCCTAAAGTGTTTCCTGTTGAGTTTTTTTCTTACATAGAGTAACATTATCAAGTAGGAAGAAAAACAAGATTTGCTAGGAAATAATAAAGTGAACTTGAAAACTTTTGCCTTAAGCAGACAGGGTCTAAATGCTCAAAATACTAGTTTATATACTCAGAAATTACAATAAAAAAGCAGAAAACATCTGAGTAAGACGTTCACCTGAGAAGTGAATGGTGAGTATCTGCAGAATAAATTTAAAGTTTATTCTTATTTTTCTAACTAGTAACCTATGTTATTCAGTAGTTTGTCAATTCAGATGTATAAAGAGCTAGGAAATTTTATGGTGGCCACAATTTATTGCAATTTCAAAAAGGATATTAGGAAAGTAGAATACAATGTGTCACATTTCAAATAAAATAATAAACCCAGGTCGCTTTTATTTCTTCAGTACCTTTTAAATTCTAAGCCTTAGTTTTTTATGAAACACGTGTGAGGCTTAGGAAAAGTTATTCAACAGAGCAAAGGTATCGTACATTTGACCAATGTGTATTCTTAACTCAACCAAATAGTTTAAGACCTATGCCAAGACTTTGAAAGTCATGTCTAAATGTCAAAATTGGGTTATGTCATACAGAAAGAATAGTGTCTTCATTAAAATTTATTTATACATCAACCAAAGACTATTTATAGCAGTGAAATTTACTTAAAAATAAAAATCAACATTGTGTTTTTCTGACTACTAATAGATTCAATAGAGCATATCAATAACTTGGTTTACCTTAATACCTTATAATTGAAAAATGGGTTCCCTTTTCTGAATTATTGTTTAAGAAGATAAATATTGTATAAACCATGTCATTTCCCCAAGTTTGGTAGCATGAAAACACATTCTCAGTTTATTTCACATATATTTTGTAAGCTGGAGTGCTAGATTAGAGTGAAATGAAGCCGTGCAAGAAATAACACAAGACTTGGATTTTATATGCTGTAGCAATTGGCAAAAATTTTTAAAAGTATGTAATATATTTCCTTCCTTGATACTGAACATATTATATAAACAAATGAACATTTAAAATGTAATTTAGATATCATATTTTATGGTCATCAATGATGTCAAATTAAAACAGGTATTATACACTCAGTGCACAAGTCTGAAGTATTTAAAAAAGCTCAGTATGTTAAATGCAGTATATCTCTAGAGAAATTAGGTATTGACTGCATGCCTCAGTGAGCAGAAAAATCTACAAAAATCTATACCACACATTGATCCAAATATTGCTTTTTAACATTACTAAGAATGTAACAAATTTTAAAATAGTATATTTGACACAGATATAATTATCTGTAATTATCAGGCAACAAGCCCAAAATATGTCAATGTTTATACATGTTGGTTTTTGTGAAGAATAAAAAATTAATAACAGATGAGATAAGCCCAAAATATATGACTCTAATTTTACACTAAATGAAGCACTTCAGCCTCTCAGAAAACACTTTTAGGTCATATATGAGAACTGAGTTTGGAAGAATAACTGCAATTAAAAAAATAGAGATACACAGACGCACAATAGTTCAAGAATAGTTATCCATTCATCCATCTGTCCATTCACCTCTATATATCTCTATTGATATTTTTTGGCTTATAACAGTACAAGCTACCCTCCTTTTACACAGTTGAACTAGAAAATGCTTAGGTGAAACTGCTGACGGGTACCTTATACAAGCGCCTTCATTATAAAAACCCAACTAATCCACAGAAACAGGAGAGGTAGCTTCTGTTTCTGAATAACCACTACAAAGGTAGTGGAGACCAGATAGTTTGATCAGGTTAACAATATATCTGTTAAGTTGCTAATCTGTAAGTCACTTTTACATTGAAGGCTGAATATTTCCCAGGGCCTGATCGAGCACAGATAAACCTAAAACATAACAAATGCTTTGATAACTAGAGGTTATATTTCCTAGTGATAACTTGTTTTACTCTTTATGCTTTCCTTTGCATTATCTTCCTCAGTATTTATTTGAGCTTATAGCTGGACTGGTACAGAAAAGATTTTTCTGAGATTAAACTACATAGTGTGTACTGAAAGTAAACACATGAATATTTAAGAATCTGACATTCTGCATTTACCTACAAGGATTTATGGCCTTGTTTAATTCTAGTTTCTAGATATGACTAAATGATTACTTCATTTCTACTAAAATCCTAAAGTGAAATGTTTTATTTTGGAAAATTAAATGTAAAACATGAGGAATGAATAGTATTCAAATATTTGAGGACACCAAACCTTTCTTTTTTTATGCTAGACTAAAACTGCACGTTAAAATTTCAGCAAATATATATATATATATTTATGTGTGTACGTCTACATCTATGTATCTATACATGTATGTGTATATACATGCATATATGTGTATATATATGCATATATATGTATATCTACACGTAAATACAGATATGGTGAAAAGTTTAGTGTACATTCTATTTTAAATGCATTAAGGGAATCTAATTTTTATAGAAATCTTGTGAAACCCATGATAAAAATGAATACTCACTCCAGCTCATCACTTTCAAATACCAAAAATACGTAATGTAGGCTCTCCCCTGAGTAGTCTTCCCAAAGAGATATCTTTTCCCCATCATTCTCAGTTCAATCTTCTCTCCAAAGACCTAGCATTGTGAAATCTACCCAACTCATCAACATATATTATTATTTAGGGAGCAAAAAACTTAAATGCACTATGGAATAAAATTTTGTTCAAATCTTTCATGAAGACGGCATAATGAAAATACTGCCCTAAACTATGGAATAACTGAGGAGGACTTCCAGAATTACCACAGTCCAAACACTGACCAGACCAACATACGACAACTCGACTTTCCCATTCCACAATCACAGTGGCTTCCTAAATGTTTTTTTTTTTTTTTTTTTTGCGGTACGCGGGCCTCTCACTGTTGTGGCCTCTCCTGTTGCGGAGCCTGTGCTCCGCAACAGGAGAGGCCACAACAGTGAGAGGC